TTTATTACAAGTAAATACTATAATTTATATAATCCTTGTTATTGATTGATATTTTTCATGATTGATTATTAAAATGAAGATCTATGACTAAAGGGACCACATCTTAATCACATTATTAATATCTATCCGCCAACCCCACCTATGCCATTTGCCACTAGGTGGCAACACAGTCCAGTAACTCTCCACAGAGTCGCGTTCACACGGTCATGGTTTGTCAAATGGGCTAATTTTGGCTCGGGTCAAATTTGGCTCGGGCCGGTTTGAGTCGGAGCGTTCACACGTACGTAACTCGTAAGGTGAATACTGTCTGTCAAATTCAAATTCAAATTCAAATAAATTTTATTGCACAAATATCTCACAGATACTTTGACAGTATGTCGCGAGATGGTTGTGTACGATTTAGAGTGTTTACTTACGTTCCGAGTTCAATTATCAATCTTGAAAACGTGCATCCTGATCAAATTTTTCGAATTTTTATACTGTTTTCGACTTTATTTCGTCGAAGTACACGTTCGACACTCGCGGCATCTACCGCTCTACTTGTTGTTGTTGTTGTTATTCGTTTATCCTCCTGCTTCACGAGGTCATGGTCACAATGTATACCCAGGCTCTTTGTACCGCTCGCCGAAAACTGGTGCTAAAATTTGGCTCGGGCCTGGTCCGACGTTTTCGATGGGACCAAAAATTGAGGTGCAAATCCACTTTAGGCACCTTAGGTATCACAAAGTGATGCAGAGATTTCTGTGTATCATCAACTGATGCGCAGACTTTCCGTATATCAAGGAATGATGCAAAAACCCTAACCCTAACCGTAACCCTAACCCTAACACACTTCGTGATACCTAAGGTTATACTTTATCAGTTTATGACTTAGGGTTAGGGTTAGGGTTTTTGCATCATTCCTTGATATACGGAACGTCTGTGCATCAGTTGATGATACACATAACTCTGTGCATCACTTCGTGATACCTAAGGTGCCTAAAGTGGATTTGCGCCCCAAATTGGCTCGTGCCAAATTGGCACGGCCCCAAAAACCGTCCGTGTGAACGCTCGGCTCGAGCCAAATCTGGCGCGGGCCAAAAACGTCCGTGTGGACGCGCCTTAGCTAGGGTCCCTATCATAGATATCCTATAACAACCTCAGATAACAACTAGATAGGCCCTAGCCAATGAGATTGAGAGTGCATTGCACCATATAGACCAATAAATTGTGCCCTAAAAAATTTTATATTCTGGTGTTATTTTAGGGCCTAATAGGCTTCCATAGACAAAACCTGTGAATTCCGACATGCAAAATGCACGACAACCTTTTGACTATTTACGGCCGTGTTACATAGAAAATCAGGGGTCGAAATTAGCGGTATCCCGATATCCGCGGGATATCAGATTCTTGTGGGGGATACCAGATTTCAATGCTTGGTATCCCGCCGGGATAGTAAAAAAAAAATCGTCATAATCGGGATAGTGGTTGTTGAGTTATCAACTTTATACGGCAGCGCATCTGAGCGAGTGCGAGAGCGCGAGTGCGCGCCCTTAGTTACTAATTTACTATGTCACACTAGCGTTTTTATACAGCAGGCATGGCATATAAATTTGCAAGCGCAAGCGTGGCCGATGTTGATCATAATTGTGANGGAATGCATTGATAATAGACCTGGATTGAACATGGCATTGATCAATATTCTTCGTGAGAAAAAGGAGAAATCACCATATGAATATACACGGTTTTTATATATTTTAGACGAATATATCAGAAGAATATCAAATTTTATTCTGTATGTAGGATCACACATTTCACTCGTTTTTTTATAGTTTGATTGACTTTAATACGTTTTATATTTGTCAGCATATAAGGATTGTATTTTTAAAATTTTGCATTTGCATTATACAAGCAATGACACAGGTGTGCAAATATCACATGTATATATTTCATTATTGGAATATTATATATATTATATATATATATATATTGTAAACATGCAGTTACAGAATTCAAACTCCTACGTTAAATTATGTGTGTTGTTATGTTATTTGTTTATGGTGTTGTTGTTTAGTGAGGCGTGTGCTTGCAATGTATTCCTGAAAGTTTGTTTTTCAAGCGCAGACTTGCTCTTAGTTAGTCTTTAGTTAGATTTTCTGTAGGTCTTGTATTAGCATTGCATTAGATTGATTTCGTGTAGTCTTGCTATTCGGTGTGTATAAGATAGATGCTTGCTGAACTAAACCCCGCGCGATTCTTGCAACCCTGTTCCGTGTACTACCTTTCCTGCACTTTAACACGCTACCAAATCTTTCTAGGCAGTGTTCTATGACCCTAGTGCAGCCTTCCTACTTGCCTATGCGTCGTAGACATGCATTAGATGTGATTTGTCTGTACGTTTTGCCTAATTCGTTGTATAGATAGATGCTGCTGACTCACCCCACAAATTCTGTGCAACCCTTCACCACTGTACTACTTTCCTGCACTGTTGAACTCCAAATCTTTCTAGCAGTGGTCGGACCCTGGTGAGCTTCCTATTGTGCCTGGTGTGACTTGCACGTTAGATTGATTTCTGTAGTCTTGCTATTCGTCTACGCGGGCTCTGCTGGCGCGCGTGTATTAGATAGATGCTTGCTGACTCCACCCCCACAATTCTTGCAACCCTTACCCTGTACTACTTTCCTGCACTTTAACCTACCAAATCTTTCTATGCAGTGTTCAGGACCCTGGTGAGCTTAACACTTACCTGGTGTGACTGTATTAGATTGAGTTCTGTAGTCTTGCTATTCGTGTATATAGATGCTGCCGACTTTAGAGATACCACTAGAGATTCTTTTCTCAAGTTAAATCCTAATTTATTCATTTGTGATTGTCTGTCTGAGCCTTTATGCATTTTCATACACTAACATCTAGTTAGATATTAAATTTATTGTTATTATTTTATTGTTCTAGGTGGGTGGAATAATAATCCAACTGGCCATGTACCCTATTCGCTCCAATTTTCCTACCGCCGTGCGTATATTAGCCTATGAGCGACACCGCGCGCATATATTTGGTAATTAATTAAACTAATCGTGGTTCAATAAACTCAAAATTCACAGAGATTATAGCTAAGACATGTGTCTATAATAGCTAGAATTTATAGAAATGTAACTCAACTCGTTCGCGAGATATCAGAGGAAGTACACTTTCCTAACGTCCGTTCGTCTGTTTACTGCCCTAGAAAACAGTGCGACAATCATCTTTCCAATATGGCGGCAGGAAATCCCATCTGGCGATGACGTCAGGCCTATCTAGTTGTTATAGGATATCTATGGTCCCTATATATAAAATATTATATTATATATAGGGACCCTAGTAACTCCTAGGGAATCGTGCACCGGGGAGAAATACTAATTTTTCACACATGTGTACACATGTATTGTATACATGTGAACCCTAGCCCTAACCCTAACCCTAACCAAAGCCCTAACCCCAACTCTAACCCTAAGCAGAAAAATATTTTTTTTAAATATTAAAAAAAAACGAATCCTTCTGACTTGGTACGATTCGGAACCGTTCGGCGAATTCCGGAAAAATGAGTATTTCTCCATGGTGCAATAATTCTCCTAGGGTCCAGGGGCGTGTACAAGGGGGGGGTCCAGGGGGACACCCCCCCCCTGCTCGCGCAGAAAACGCATCTGAGGGGGTCTAATTTCAAAAATTTTCTTCCCTTCGCGTGCTCGCAAGTTTGGGTTACGGTTAGACCCCCCCTGCTACAAATCCTGTACACGCACCTGGGGTCCCTATATATAAAGGGACCCTAGTAACTCCACCATAACTCCACTCATAGCTAAGTCCACTATAATAAATATAAAGTGCGATATACAAGAATAAAACTACTGGACACTTCTCCAAGAACAAATAACAATAGAGCACAATGAATTATACTTATAATTAAGTAACCATTTATTTGCCAAATAAGCATTTCCAGCTACTTCGCTATCACTGTGCCAAGACACCTGCCTTTCGCATGTGCACTAAAATAACAATCGTCCAGAAATTCATTGGTCAGTTCCAATTTATTTTAGTACGTATCCCACTTTTATGAATGGTAAACATGACATTATGCTAAATTTTACAACTTGCAAGAAATACCACTTTTTAGTCATATTATGCAGTCCATTGACTCTTTACTTGCTATGTTAAGCTACCCTCAAATTATGTAATGATGATGACTGATGATAATGCATGGTGCACTGCAACAGCAACTACTGAAGGGGTGCATGTTAACGTACCACTGATATATCATATGAACTAAATAAAACGTAAAAAGGTATATTTACCATTAAACTGGACAGTGAATCTATACATGGTGCACGAACCTTGTCACACGATGATGTGAGTATGACGATAACGTTTAAATAAAATTAAGATGAAACCACAAATCCATAATAAAGTAGAAAAATTCCCTACACAGTAAGAAATAAATCACAGGCTTTGAATGCACATGAAACATGATAGCCTAGATAGATTCTTTGTTATTGCGTGATACATTTTCTTTTAATGCAAAAAGTCTCATTTACCCAGATGAGACGGGATACTAGAGAAGCGTTGCCGAAAGGAGGTGTTGATCCCAAGCGCTATAAGCGCAGATCTTGCGCGCAGTTCCGCGGCAAGGCGCACGCGACCGCGGGAAAATAGTCAGGATTCTATCTAAGTATCTATCTATTTATGTTAAAGTTTCATATCGCATACACACGGCCCATAAGAGGCAAGTAGTTGGTTTCCTTAGATCAATAAAACGATGTCTGCATTAAATTTTGAGAGTGTACACTCTAAAATCAATCGTCAGATGTTTACATTCACTTAACAGTGTGTCACAGTAAGCGAATAACATTCGACCATCATAATGTACTTATTAACTACAGAAGGTGCCAGTTACTGTAGCATTCGTCAACTTTGTATAATCAATGGGCCTATTATGCCTTTAATTATATATGTATATAGTATATACATATATTAGAGATGGGAATCAGTTGGAATTTCATCATCGATCATCGGTTGCACCCATTTTTTATAATACAATATATACTAAAAACTATGAAACAGTATTATACTCACTTATATTTGGTGTAAGTTAGATTTATTGTCTCCAAGCTGTAAAGTAACCAAAAAACCACACACAAATAAAATGAAGAGTCATTTCAGCAATGTTTGCCAATTTTATTGAGCCGAGCGCTTAGTCTTTTGCTGCACAACGACTGACTTTCGCTTATAATTCATCATCGGGACATCACTAATATATATTTACCTGACTATCATTTAAAAATTACATAATAATGTGCAGTATTGTGACTGTATTGTATTTGGACAATGTAATATATGAAATATTTTGTTTTAAGGATCATGCTTACTCATGTTCGCCAAGAAAATGGAAAAGAAAGTTGCATGAAACGGAGGAGAAACTAGACACCATCACAAAGAAGCTGAAGAACACTGCCCGTCGAGAGAAGAGATGAAAAGAAACTTGTAGACATCAGTTGGCAGAGCTGTATGAAAAATACCTCATAAATATGGAGTTAAGATCAAAGCTGGAATCCTTTGGAGGTACCAAACTTTTAAAATTGAATCTAATCTTACTTTTAAACTATTCACAGACAAGCTAATCCTGTAGGTAGTGGTGGCCTATAATTATCTAGTAATGTGTTAGATGAATTGTTTCTGACAAGTGTATTTTTATTTCAGATATTCCTTGGAAATTATTTAAAAAACCTTCTAAAGAATACACACACGATCAAAGGGATTTTGCCATCACGTTACACCTGCAATCTCCCAAGGCGTATGAGTATTTGAGGAGTACACTGGATTTGCCGCTGCCACACCCTAGAACTCTCAGAAAGTATGTAAAAAGTTAAACATTGTTTTTGGAATGTGAATATACTGCATTAGACAAAATGCATTGTATTTATAAGCATTGTAATTATTGGCTGCTATAACATTTTAGTGTAGAATATATATATATATATATATATATATATATATATATCAAGAGTGGATAATAGAGAAGAGTATGACTCGGTTTTAACAGCGTTTTGCATAGTTTTAAACTGGTAAATAATCTATCAATATGTGAATGAATATATTCAAACTACCTTGTTTTCGTCTATGATTCTCCCTTAATCATATGACCCACCACAATTAACCTGAAAATCGTATGTGTTCTTCAAAAAGTTATTGAATACGACACAGGTTTCGTACAGTTTTCACGGATGAACAGCATCTCTCTCCGACCGAACTTTCTTATGGGACTAGTGTTCTGTTGTCTATGACGGTACGCTGGGGCCGTAAGGGAATCAGCTGCCTAGCTAGCTGGCCGTGAGCCGCATTTATTTAGCACGCTGGAACGCTGCACGCTGAATACAATTCGATGCCTAATATCCCATACGACCCCAAAGTTCCGTCATAGACAATAGAACACTAATCCCATAAGAAAGTTCGGTCGGAGAGATGCAATCATGCGTGAAAACTGTAACGAAACCGTGTCGTATTCAAATAACTTTTTGAAGAACACATACGATTTTCAGGTAAATTGGTGGTGTCATATGATTAAGGGGAGAATCATAGACGAAACAAGGTAAAGTTTGAATATATTTATTCACATATTGATAGATTATTTACCAGTTGAAAACTATGCAAAACGCTGTTAAAACGAGTCATACTCTTCTCTATTATCCACTCTTGATATATATATATATATATATTATATATATGTCCTAATTTTTGTTTGTCATTATTAACATGATTAACCTAATTACGGTGAGGGAATGCATTGATAATAAATAGAGAACATCGTTATATACGGCGCTCCGCAAATAGATGGTCCCTTGTACCAGGCGCAGGCCCGGCGATCGGAACCGGAACCATAGGGATAGTGTAAAGCACGCCGCCGTTTCAAATCTGTACAATTACTGTTTGATTATTGTGATTTCACACTGATCCTCTTTAGTAATGTGATCGAACAAATGGAACTCTGTTCTTATTTATAAACCTGGATGAACATGACATTGATCAATATTCTTCGGTGAGAAAAGGAGAAATCACCAGATGAATATACACGGTTTTTATATATTTTGATTAAATTTCAGAAGAATATCAAATTTTATTCTGTATGTAGGATCACACATTTCACTCGTTTTTTTATAGTTTGATTGACTTTAATACGTTTTATATTTGTCAGCATATAAGGATTGTATTTTTAAAATTTTGCATTTGCATTATACAAGCAATGACACAGGTGTGCAAATATCACATGTATATATTTCATTATTGAATAATTATATTATATATATATAATCAATATATTGTAAACAGTGCAGTTTACAAGAATTCAAACTCCTACGTAAATTATGTTGTTGTTATGTTATGTTGTTTATGGTGTTTGTTAGTGCTGTTGAATGTATTTCTGAAAGTTTGTTTCAAGCAGACTTGCTTTAGTAGTCTTTAGTAGATTTCTGTAGTCTTGCTATTAGATTGCATTAGATTGATTTCTGGTATCTGCTATTCGTGTATAGATAGATGCTGCTGACTAACCCCGCAATCTTGCAACCCTTTCCCTGTACTACTTTCCTGCACTTTAACGTACCAAATCTTTCTAGGCAGTGTTTATGACCCTAGTGAGCTTCCTACTTGCCTGGTGTGAC